TTAACCAACATGAGGGTCACACATAGGATTCTGCATGCTTTTTATTAACTAACTACATGTATGTGCTATTTTTGAGGATGACACTATCTACAAACACATACAGTCTAATATCTAGCACCTTATCTCTAAGAACACATATTTTATATACAGTTACAGCTTACATTTAGGAGAATTACTGCAGAAATAAATACACCACTGAAAAGACAAAAATACCAAGCTTTTAACAATAAAATTGTAGCACAGATGAAGAGGGGGAATATACACTCAACTTTGAACTAAACTAAACCAAACTAAACTAAAACCAATCTTGTTTATGTCTATATTTTATTTATTTTTTGATTATTTTTTCAAATATGTTTGTCTCTGCCTTCCCCTGACCACTTTCCTTTGCCCCCTTATGTCTATATTTTAGAACCAGAGGGATCTAGTAATGAATTCTCAGACATAGAAGCCTCTTGAGAGTATACAACTTACTGTGGTTTTCACCCCCTGGTGTGTGTACTTTGAGATATGGGAGCTTTGGGAGGCAATGATGGAAACATTTGACTCCTATTGGCAACCTTCATTTACCTTGAGGACTCTTATTTTACTTACCAAAGAGTAGTGGACTTGCCAGTGACCTGGCAATCAGTGGCCAACTTCTCTGGATTTTAGCCAGCCTATTTCTTCCTTCAGCCAGCCTTGTTGCTTTTACAGAAGATTGCTGTAAGCAAGACGGGCATTTGCCATAGAGGAAGAGATTGTAAGTAACTGGAGAGAATTTATGACAAGGGTTTCTCTTCTTTCTGAATTTTAGGTTATGTTCTGCTAATTGCAGCTCATTGCTTCTGTCTCCTCATGCCTAAACTTGGAGGGACTTTGAAGGGGCAAAGAGCACTTGTCCAGCTCTTGGAAAATGAGAAAGAGATAAGGACGGAGAGGGTTAAAAGCCATGACTGACTAGATTTTCTCTTATCTTGGCAATTGGTTCACAGCCAACTCTTCCTTTAATCTTTTGTCTGCTCTAGAGGAAAAGACATTTTGCTTAGAGAAGACTCTCCTGTCAGCATGGGGTTTGTCTTAAAGAAGAATAAAACAAAAGAGACATGAGGGGAAAATACTTCTTTTGATTTTCTTCTCAAAATATGTGGGAGAGCAGTTATGAGAAAAGAAAACAGTCCAGTAGTTTAAATTGTTCCTCTTTGTTTCATCCCAACAACCTCTGAGGGTTTTATCTTGGAGAGTTCAAATTACCAGATGCATAATTTTTCTTATCCAAATGGTATATTTCAGACATTTTAAAGATCATTTTGGCAATGTTTAAGAATGCCTAGTTTAACCTTGTAAATTATTCTTCAGATAGTATGAAAAAAATCTTTTGAAGTAACATTACCTAGTTTAATTGGCTAATTATGTATAAAATAAGACAATGTTAGGCACCTTATAATTTTATAGGTAAAAGGTTTTTTTTAAAAACTTTTTTTCCTGAAATAATTGGACAGTATCTACAGAATTGAATGTGCTCCAAAGATGTGTTGTATTGAGAACTTTCTGGTAGGAAATGAGCTGCCTACCTCCTCCTAAATTATAAAACAGGACTTTTCCTTACCTGTTGAATTTGAAGTAGGGATTCTCGTCATCTCTAAATTGGATTAGGAAGAGACAGAAAAATACCTTTAATTGCTGGTTACACCTATTGTTCAATTGTCTCCTTCCCTGCTTACCTAGGCCCCAGATCCCTGTGAATCTGTCAGCTCTGGATTTGGAGTGAATGAATGGGAGTAAGCACACAGTTTCAAGCAAGAGGTATTCCTGAAGGGCCAGCACAGCAGGGGAAGGGGAGGGGAAGGGGAAGTGAGGGGAAGTGAGGCAGGTGAAGGCTGTGGGCATGATGGCAAAAGGTAGGCAGGGAGCTGGAAATACAGAGGACTCCCTAGTACCTGGCATTTATGGTGTAGAGAAGATGGGCCCCCACATCACGGAAGTCACAGAAGCCTAGGGCTTGCTACTTCTTACAACCCTCCCAAGCTTGTTGAAATTGGTGTGCTAGTCAAAGTACCTGCGACTCCTTGGCAAACTAGATGCTCTATTATTCTTAAATAAGAAAATCATTAAATTGGAAATCACATCATTTCAAAGTCCGGTTTGTCTGGCTCCTGTATTTTAATGGGATTTTTATTGCACATATGAAGTGGCCTTGGCAAAAGAATACATCCTTTAAAAACATTTAGAGAAAGCTATTGCACATGCAGCTCTGTGAGGCTAATGATGACTTTTTTCCGTTCTTTCAGATTTTCAAATGACAAAACAGTATTGCAGTAAAACTTCATTAAGTTAATAGTGTTTTATTCAAAATAGCACAGCATTTGAAGCAGTGCCATCTCCAAGCTAATTTGAGGCCCTATTGTTCATTAAGTGTCAGCAAAGCAGAATGCTCTTAATTCAAAGGTCCTCTTTTCCAGTCTCCTATTTTTCAAAAGGTTTTCACTTTTAAAAAATAAATTTTGCCATATGAATAGACAATTATTAAAACAGGGAAAAAAAGAACTTTAAAAAGGAAAATGGGTGAGTCTTGGTGCCCTGGAGAATGTTGTGTGTACAGTTAAATTAACTTACCACACTTGTACAGGTCTGGTTCCATTTTGATTTGGGATTTTGGCAAACAATTCTCTCTGATACATTTTGAAGGGGTTGATCTTTAAAAGTAAAACAAGAATTTCAGTTTCAAGAAAGTATTTGGAGACATGTATGTTTGAAATCCTATTTTGTGTGTGTGTGTGTGTGTGTGTGTGTGTGTGTGTGTGTGTGTGTTTTACCCAGGTAAGCATTTCTACTCAAAAGACAGGCTACGTTGAACTCCTTTGACCATGACAGATTCTCAAGATAAAACCCCTCTTCCCTTAGAGAATTGGTCATATAGGCCATTTCTTTATCCAGATGTCCTTTGAGAACAGGTTAATACAAGAATTTGGCAATAAATAGGTATAATAAATTTATTACTATTAATTCATTTATACATTTTGGTAAAAAATAAATGGTTGTGGAAGGGTAAACTTCTGCCCCCATGTCTTGTCTGAATTACCACAGCTTCCAAATTAATGGGGTTGGGATTAGTAAGATTTTCATGGACATATCAAATTGACAGATCAGAACAATATTATTTGAGTTTATCCCCTCTCTTTTCTTAAATTCTGAACAAGGAAATTCCAAATTACCATGCAGACTTATTCACAGACCAAATACACTGCTGTTTACCTCTCGCTTGAGAAGCTCATGTTGGAATCTGTGAGGAGGAAGAGATAAAGAAAATATGAAGGAGCTGGGCATTCATATGAATGAAATTTGAGTTCTATATAGACACAGTATTCATACAAGCATGAGGCCAAACTCTTAATATGGCATTCTTTATGTACAGTTACTTGATTAACTATTTGTCAACCAAATTCTCCCTCCTCCTCCTCCCTCCCTGGATTTCTGCATGAACAATTGAATGGCCAAAGATTTATTTAATTTGATCTTCAGAAGGATCAAAAGCACTGTCATGACCATTTTATTGCTCCATGCTATTTGGTCAAGTCAATATAGCATGTGCCTTCAGAAATACATAAGTGTATCCCAACCCAAAGTGATTTCAGGGTTTGGGATTTAAAAACTCTTCATTTGTATTGACTCTAGGGATAATTTAGATATTGCAAAGGTTTTCCTAAAGTGACATACTTTAATAGCAATAATTAGGATATGTCTGATCTGAGACCTGAACACTTTGATTTTAAGATTGTATGGAGTAAGTCAGATGCTTGCAAGGTATTGAGAAACCATCCTGTCTGTTATTTCTGACTCCCTTATATTTCTCTCCCACATCTGCAGAGAGCTTAAAGGCTTTAGAGAGGGCCACAGGTGGAAAATACACATGAGCATGCCTGGAGGAAGAAAAATGTTTATCCTGCCTTACTTGGTCTCTATGTGGAAGTCTCACGGACAATAGAGATTTTTAATGGACACATCACTCTTGATTGGCATTGTGAGTCTATAGGACTTTGACCACCTCTAGTTGAATTTACTTTTTGGGGGAAGAAAGACTGTTTGACCAAAAAGGCCTATTTGGACATTGCCCCCAGACAAGTGACTGGTAGAGATTTGGAGGAGGATTCCTTTGAGTATCCCAATTCAATCACAAAGGAAAAATTATAAAATAGTGGCATAATTTTTGTCCCTCTATTATTAAAATAGGAGACAGAAAATAGGTTAGTGTCAATTGATAATTTTCCATTTGCATAAGATGGCCTTGGTCCCAGCTCATGCACAAAACCAGGGTTTTATAGAAAAACAAGTCAACTGTTTAGCCTCTTGAATATGTGTTATTTCTCTGTCTTCTCCCTTGGACTAGTTTCCCATTCAAACCTGCCCTATTATCTGCTCCCACTTTTCTGGGTCCCTGTAGAGAATCAGGAAACCTTGGTATTTTAACTTTGTCTTAGTTTCCACAATAACCTTTGCACCAGATTGTGGATCTCATACATTGATCAGTCAGTCAGGTTTTGCTCCTTGGGCTCCATCAGTGATTTGATTCATTGCTTTACTTTCAGTTCAACATAGGATGTAACCCTTGCCCATGACCTCTTGACCTAAGGGCCCAAAAATCCTTAAGTTCATAGGCATCATCTTCTTTTTCCCTCAGAATAAAAGTTGACACCTTGTAGCTCTGAGGGGACAGACCAAATACCAAATATAGGTCCAAAATGGATAGTCCTTGTTGCTCTAGGAAATTTGGAGCCTAATAATTTTTTGGGGGGAAATTTCAGTCAGAATCCTTAAGTGTGTGCTTTGAGGAACACACTTTTAAGTGAAGACTCCCGTTTCTACATCTTCCATATATTTATCTGTCTTGTGGTGAGACGGATGTGTGCAACACCTTTGCCTGGAATGGTATGGGTTGGTACTAATAGGATTGTGAGTGGTACATTGAAAAGAAAGAAGCTCCTGGTTTCTGTACAAGTTCAAGGTTTTCCTTAGAACTCATTTCAAGGTGAAGTGGCAGAATCATGAGAAGGAATGGTCTTGTCTTCAGTCCCACCCTCTGTGCCAGCCTCGGTTTCAGGAAGATCTGGGTGGCTATGTTCTTTTGGGGGCTTTTCCTTGCAGAAGAACTTCTTCAGCATATCCTGAATTTCCTTCTTGATGGTCTTGTGCATGTACCCATAAATGTAGGGGTGTATGCAACACTGCAGGAAGAAAAGCCAGATTATTATGGTGATCACCCACTGGGGTGCCTTGGTTTGGACATCCACCCACACAGCCAGGACTGCTAGAAAGCAGTAGGGCCCCAGAGATAACACATAGGAAAAAATGATGAGGAATATCACTTTAGCAGCTTTGCACTGGTAGCATCTGGGCAGAGGAGGGCCACTGTTGCTGTTTCGACGACTTGGTGGGGCACTCTCTGGGATATTCACTGCTTCGATGTCATCCTCACTGAAATTGATGTTATCATCACCAAACTCCATGTAATCTTCACCCAAGTCAATGTTGCACTGGTTGACCTCTATGTGGCCCTGTTGTGCTTTTATGCTGCTCTCAATTTTGGTGCTGCCTTCCTTACCATCCATGCTGCCATCATCGGCTATCAAGTTGCTTTCTCTGACCTCCTTGCTGCCCTTGGCCTCCATGCTGCCCTCTTTGGTCTCCACACTGCCCTCCTTGGCCTTGACCTCACTTTCATTCTGGCTGTGGAACCTGCTCTCACCCTGGAACTCATCCTTCTCTCCTGCTTCATCCTCATTCTCCACATGGTCTTTGGCTCGAACCTCCAAGCTGTGGCTCTTGATGTTGTACAGAAGAGCATGCTGCCGTTGAGCTGCACCAAACACTATGGAGTAGCAAGCAATCATGACAACCAGTGGAATGATGATGAAGGACACCACGCTGAGAATCGTGTAGGTGGGGCTGGCCCCCCAGATCATGAAGCAGAGAGCATTGCGCTCATCAAAGGCAGCCTGACCCCAGCCATAGAGTGGGGGAGTGCTCTGAAGGATGGCCACAATCCAGGTGCCATAAAGGAGCATGTAACCCCTGCGCGGAGTCATCTTGGCCTGGTAGGAGAGAGGGTGGATGATGGATAGGTAGCGATCCACTGACACCACAACAATGGTGTTGACACTGGCAAAGGCAAACAGGTGAGTGAGGCTAACTAGGGCGGTACAGAAATGGCTGTTGAGGGGCCAGAAGAAAGGCACAGAGGTGGCCACTACCCAGGGGGCCACAAGTGAAACCTGCAGCAGGTCAGTAATGAGGAGGTTAAAGATGAAGCGGTTGGTCACCTGCAGCAGCTGCGACTTGCGCTGCAATGCCAGTGCCAGCACTACGTTGCCAATGAGTGAGGCAGTGAGGAAGATGAGCAGCACACTGGAACGGATGATGCCGTGAGCCAGGCTGATGGGCATTTTGGAGAGGGGTATGCATGTGTGGCTGCTGTTGCTTTCACGCGTGCTGTTGGTGCAGGTGGACGTCATGGCGACGGCGGGATGGCAGGTGGACGTGAGACAGGGTGCAGGTTTGGAAGAGGCACCAAATGAGGGGTGAAGAGGCCCACCGACCACACTGCTTATGCTAGGGATGAAAGAAACATGTGCACTGGGTTAGTCACCCTGTCAAGGAAGCACTGCTTCAGCACTGGGCAGCAGCACCGCAGTATCTCCTCCCCAGGGCCCCCAAACAGCTCCCGTTAGCCACCAGACTCGGCACTTTCTCTGAATCCTCCTCCTCTCTAGGTCTCTATGCCTCTCTCTAGGGGTCTCAGAGTCCCTCCCATCTGTCACGCTGGTGTGTGCACAGGCGCTGTGCACTACTACTATCTTTGAGTCTCAGAGTTTGGGTTTCTGGAGTGATTTTCCCAGCTGTCTCTCCTGCTAGCGCAGGCATGCGTTCTGCGTCCCAGCCTGTTTACATTTGTTGAATTCTTTCTTTGTCTCCAGTGTCTCTCTGTAGCACATTTCCCCCCCGCCCTGTATTCCCGGGGTGTGTATGCGTGTCTCAGTTTTCCCTAAACTCTCTCATCCCTGTTTTTCTTTCTGTTGTCTGTCTTTATTTCTTAGTCTGTCCCTAGAATGTGCACACTGTCTGTAGGTCTCTGTCAGTCTGTGGTTCTCTCTCTTCCATTTCTTTCTTGTTTATTCCAGCCTCTTCCACTCTTAGTCAATTTCTCTGTCTCTCAGCCTCTCTGTGTCTCTTTCAGGAGCAGACTTTCTCTATCACTGTGTATGCGTGTCTCTCTTTCCCTCGGTCTTGTCCTCATTGCTCTCTTCCTCTTTCTAATGTGCTGCTGTTTCTCTCTCTGTCTCTCTTCCTGTCACTGACTGTCACTCACTAGAGCGTGCACTTCCTGGTCTTTTCCTGATGTTGTTTCTTCTCTCCATTTCTCTCTATTTCCATGACAATTTCTGTGGGTCCCTAGTGCACCTGCTGAGTATCACTCTGTCAGTCTCTGTGTCTCTGTAATTCCCTTGTTTCCTTTCCCCCTTGGGTTCTCTCTCTATGCGTCACTTTTTGTCTCTTGCTGCGCTTTTTCTTTCCTGAATCCTGTCATCTTTGTGCCTCTCCCTTCACGGTTCATCTCTCCATGCGTTAAGTTCTCTTTTTATTGCTGCCTGCCTTTTTCTTTCCATTGCTCTCTGAAGCTACATTCCTTGTCCCTCTTTCTTGTCTGTCATCTGCAGCATCTCTGTTGCTCAAGCTCTCTCTCTAGCGCATGCACTTCAAGTCAGTTTCTGTGTTTCTCACTCTCTCCCTGAGACTAGCTAAACATTTACTGTGTATGTTTCATTATGGGTGCATTTCTGTCTCCATTCCTCTCAGAAGATACCTCACCTCAGTTTTTCTCTGGCTGGATCTCTGTCTACAGTCTCTACCTCTCTGTCGACTTTATTTTGCCATGGAAACCAGCTGCCGCCTTGGCCACCGAAGGCTCTGGCGGATAAATCTAGTCTCTTAGCGCAGCCGTGGCTGGATGAAAGGGAGATGCCTATTGCGTTCCCTCCCAATTCAGCATCATCTCTGCATTCTCCAGCCCACCCAGTATCAGAGGCTGCTTGCCTTAGGAAGAGTGAGCTGGGGAGAGTGGAAGAGGAGGTAAGGGTGCCAGACTGGTGGGGAGAGTCTAAGAGAGAGTGAGAGAAATTGGGAGACAGAAAGAGAATGAGAGCCAGGGAGAGACTGTGGATGGGAGAGATGGAACAGAGAAATCGAAGAAGAATAAGAAAAGAGAAGATGAGAAACAGAGAATGAGAGAAAGGATAAGGAACCAAGAGAATTTTGTTGGTGGCAGGGAGAATGCACGAGAGAAAGTGCGAGGGGAAACCCCATGGCAAGAGGACAGCCAAGGGACTAAGAGAAACAGCCGCACCGCTGCCGTCGGGTCGCAGCAGACCGAGTGCAGGGTCCAGTATGGCTCTGGGGCCGCTGCATCTGGAGCAGTGTCAGCCGCTTACCTGTTGCTGCTTGAGGTGCCACACCACGGAAGTGGCGTGCCGGTCCTTTGAGACTAGCCGCGCGTGTCCAGGCTGCGTTCTGAAGCACCGGCGGATGCAGGCTCACGTGGGGCACCCGGCACCGGGCACCAGGCACTGCGCGGTGGGAGCGACAGGAGCTGGGCGCCTGTGCACGCAAGTCCTGCTGGCGTGGCGCTGCAAGCTCTGAGCAGTGGCGGGGATGTGCGGCGTCTTAAAGCAGCGCGGAGCCCTCACCTTGCGGGGGGCCTCCCGCCCCTCGGCCTCCGCCCGCGCGCATGACGCACCAGGCCACGGGCGCGCCTGGAGGAGCGGGGCTGGCAGGTGGGGGACACTGCAACAGACCCCACTCAGATGTTCTCACCCTGCGTCTCCACATCATTAGGTCCGATCTCACTAAGACCTCACAGACTGTGGGTTGTCCCCAAGGCTGATTTTCATGCAAACATTATGACTTCGTACTCCTCGGATTTTTGGCCTGTCCCGAACACAGACCCGCACAGTTCTTCCAAAGAGAAGCAGAAACCTAGGCCTGGGGCCTCGGGCCTTGACCTTTGAAGACCCTCACCCCTACCTCCGCTAAAGTATGAGCTGGTCTTTGAGCCGAGAGAGGAATCCTGAATTTGATATCACCAATTTTCCACAATTTTCTCTAGCTCCCAGCAAGAGCTAAACAGCAGTTCCTTTCCTGCAGGTTTTGCAAAAATTTAATCTAACACAAGCTACTTATTTATCCACTGTATTATTTTATTGAAGTGTTGTATGTCAGTTATTCTCTCTCTATCCTCCCCCACTTCCTCTCTCTCTGCCAGGTATTGTGTTAAGCTGTTTACACAGAAAATACTGCCAAATCCTTACCCCAATCTTGTGAAGTAAGTACTGCTATTATCTTCATTTTATAGAGTCAGAAGCAGAAGCCAAGAGAGATTACCCTAGTTGCCCAAGTTCAAGCAAATGTTGCACCTGCTCTACTAACCAAGACATTCTTGTCTCTCCCCAACACATTTCAGGTGCTTGCTCTGTATCACACCTGGGCAGACACCAGGGCATAAGCCCCCTCCTCCCTCAGAAGGGAGGGTGAGGTCTGGGAAGGTGTCCCAGACCAGAGGTCATTTCTGTCTGGTTTCCGAAGGCTGAGTATGTTTTCTAGGCAGGCAGGAAGGGGAAGTGTGTTTTCCAAGAAGAAGATTCATGGTCAAGCAGAGCTGCAGGAGAGAGCTGGGTGCCAAGAGAGGTTGCAGCAGGGTGAGTGTCTGGAGGTGAGCTGGAAAAAAGGGGTAGGGGAAGATCCTGACTGGCCTTGAATGCCAGTCTGGGGACTTTGGCCTTTATCCTGAAATCTCTGGAGGACCATTGAGGAATTTTACTATTATAAACAATTTCAAGCATACACAAATGTAATGATAATAATAAAATAACCCCCTATCCAACTTTAACAATAATAAATATTTTGCCATTATTGTTCAGTGATAATATTAATGCAGGGAGATGTGATGTGATTTCTGTTTTTCTAGGATCACCTAGAAGCAGGGCTGGGATGGGGGTGGATGAGGTATTGAATGGAGAAAGAACAGAAAGTAGGCTGTGGCAGGAGGAAAAAAAAGGTTTCAACACACCACAGAGAGGGGGCTCAGCAGAGACGCAAAGAGAGGCCAAATTCACAGTGCAGAGGGATAAAGGCAAGGAGGTGTTGGGTAGGGTATAGGATGAGCAGACGATTCTGAGTTGGTTGATAAGCTGGATAGAGATCTTGCCCTTCTACTACACCCCATGCCTCCTGGACAGGGAGACAAGGCAGGTGTATAATCAGGCCCCAAAATGCTCTTTGGGTTTCAAGTCCTACATTTGCTATAGACCATTATTCTTTTCTTTTTTTTCTTTATTATTTTTTTTTGTTTTTGTGGCTAAACCTGATTTTATCTTCTCAAGTTTTAATGGTATAAAGCTAGTCATTTTTCCTGCAGATAGTTTCCATGATAATTGCTCACAGTTATAAATTTCTAGCCTCACTCTGGCCATGGTGCAGTATTCTGGGTGTCATGCACTATCAATTGACAGTTCACTCAAACTTGATATTTTGGAATCACTTGGGAGGCAAATTGTGAGAATTGACCTGAGACAAAGGCCAGTCCAGCCCATCCCGTCCTTTCCTCCTTTTCACTATGATCCTGAGAGTTCCTTGGACTGCTGGAATCCAGCAGGAGACAAGGAAAGACATCTAGGTACATGGTAAAGGTGGGTGCCTAAGAAAGGCAGCCTCATAGAGTCTGAAGCTGCATCCTAATGCTAAGGGGGATTATGGAGAGTGGAAGAGTCTGAAACCATGGCCAGTCTGCTTGCAGGAGCCAGTAAGAAAGCCAAGGAAATGTTGGGAAAGAAGTGCAATCCTTAGGTGCCTGTTTCTTCTTTTTTCCTCCAGGCTTGAACAGAGTTGGTGTCCTTGAATTCCAAAGGCATGCAAGTATCAGCATCCCAACTAGATGAATGTGGGGGGCCTTGGGAAATGTGGATTTGGCTTCAGTCCATGCAGGCTATGATTCTGATGGCCTTGGAAGAGCCCTTCAACTAACAAGCTTCTAGATTATGCGGAGGCATTTTGGGATGAGACAGGGAGGGTTTGGGATGATGATATAATAACTCACCTAGTCCATTTACCTACCTTTGTAATTCTATAGCAGCAGGGGTAAGATCGAGCTAATGGTATTAATGGGTCAGGGATGGAGGGTGAGAAGCTACTAGAAATGGCTCTAGGGCTTGATGACAATCCAAACTTCAGTACTAGCCAGTGTGCCAGGCTGATCTTCCCAGACTTATTCACCTGGCTAGACTAGCCTAAGGGATGTACCAACTGCCCAGTAAGGGAAGTCAGAGGTCTATGACCCAGCCAGGTATTGGTTCTAGTAACAATTCAGGGTGCAAGAGTCCTTGAATACATACCATGTGCCAAGCCTTATGCTTCCTTTATCCTATTTAATCTTTGAAGGAACTCTGCAAGTTAGAAATTAGTA